AGAGAGAGAGAGAGAGAGAGAGAGAGAGAGAGAGAGAGAGAGAGAGAGAGAGAGAGAGAGAGAGAGAGGGAGGGTGAACTATTGAAAGAGAGCTGTGTGGACACATAGATACCAATATGTACGGTGGTGGCCTACATTTTTTAAAATTTAAAAGCTCAGGTTGTTATAGAGGTCGGGTATCGCCCCAGGTGGGTATTGTCATAGGAGCGCCGGAGTGGAACCTTCCCAGTCAGCAACCAACCCAGTATTATTCCAGGCAACCGAATCGGAAATTATCGTGGGGAGGTATGGCCCGAGTTGGTGGTATTCCACTGGCGCCAATCACAGACCGCACGCCGACCAGGTGGCTCCCACCTATTCTGATATCGGAGGGGTCACCTTCCTGGTACTATTCCAGCTCAACCAGCTAGTGGGTACCCTGATGTGCGACGGCAGGACTACCTCCCTACCCTACCTCATTTCAATTCTCCTAATGCACCCCCTATACCTACTATCCGACCTCGGTGATACAAGCACTCAGGACAATGGCTTACTTATGAGGCCTTACGGTCTTAGACTTCCTTCCCTGCTGATTGTCCGCACCGACGCATTCATTATTGGATACTCGGCGGAGGTTTCAGCATATAGCCAGATTTGCCTTCATAGTATTGGAGGAAGGTTACACATTGCACACTGCAATGCTGTCTGTCCTTCTGCAGTAAAGTCATAGTGATAGTGCTTTGGGCCTTTGGCCCTACCATTCAGCGGAGAAGCCAGATATTAGGGAGATATGAGCAACCCACGAAGCTGAATCCAAGCAGAGAGGAGAATAGCTCGAAGCAAGGATGGCGGGATGGCATTGCGCCAGTAGTCCTGTGGACCCATTTTGTCGAACCTGAACTTGTCTATCACCAAAACAGAATCGATCCTATTTTGTAGAACCTGAGATTGTCTGTTATTAAAAGAATAAAAAGGAAGAGAAGTCTTGTCTGGTGCTGCATGAAATGAACTGGCCGCAGGCAGGGCGATTCATCGAAAGCAAGGATGGCAGGATCGCATTACGCCAGTAGTCCTGTGGACCCCTTGATCAAGGCTGTGAGTTTTATAGGAAGGGTACTAAGGGCGTCGTTCGACACTCCTCGGGGACGCGATTCCGAGGATTCCGTCGTCGTTCCACCTGTCCTCGGAGCCGATTTTCGGAACAGAAATGTGAAAACACTCCGAGGACAAATCCTTGGGCTCCGAGGATTTCCCAGCCAAATCGTCCTCGGCTCCAAGGGACCTCGCGAGGTCGCGAGGTCCCTTGGAGCCGGAGGATCCGTGTTTCACGGAGGGGAGAGGGCATGCACGTAGAAAGATGTTACAACCAAGAATTCTGATCGTGGCAGCACCCTATTGGCTGAAAGCCTGAAGCACAACTTTTTTTCTTTTTTTTTTCCTTTTATTTTTCTGACATTGCTGCGAGGATGAGTCCAAAAACCGATGCTCCGAGGATGAGTGGAACGAAGACGACAAAAACCCTAAACTTTTCCGAGGATTCATCCTCGGAGCCCGAGGATACCCCGAGGAGTGTCGAACGACGCCCTAAGACGGGGTAATTTTTGAAGTCTCAGACATTTTCTCTGGCGTGCATTGCATGCTGCCACAGCTTTCTGGGCCGGGAAGGACGGATTTAGGACGGCGGCGGTAGTGGTGGTTAAAGCCGACTGTTGGAGGGGTGGAGCTGAAGTTACTGCATCTTTGAAGCTAGGCTGTTTGTTCACGCACCCGGGCACCCAAATTGTGCCCGGATTCATGCCGGGGTGCCTGGCCGGGCATGGACCCCAGACAGGGTTCCAGGCAGCCCCAGCTCGCCCCCCCTCCCCCCCCCCAAAAAAAAGAAGTCAGAAAAGAAAGAGTTGTGTTGAACTGCAATTAATGACTTTTGGCTGAGGACCACATCATAATTCTTCGCGGATGCGAAGGTAAAAAAGAAAACAACAGAATCGTACTAAGGGCCCCCCCTTTAGACCCCTTTAGCTCGTTGAAAGGCAATTTATACCCCCCTCCCCCCGCCTTGACAGCCAACGCACTCACAAAAAGAAAGAAGCCCAAACCTGGACTCCTCTGGCCATGGGCAGAAAACCTCCAACACCCCCCCCAAAAAAATAAATAAATAAATAAATAAAATCGCATTACCAAGAAAAATCCCGTACTTTGTTGAACGGCCTCTGGCCACATCAGCACATGACATGAGGGAGGGGAAAAAAAAATCAACTTGCATTGAGTGGTTGGGCAGACATTATGGGCTTTGCTGCACCACTCATTAAATGCAAAAAAGGTGAAACTACAGTGGGTGGGT